TATATAATATTACAAACTCACACTATGAATCATAATTTCTATCACTCCTACATTATTTTGCTACACTATATTGATACACTTTAAATTTGTATAATTCTTAAACTCTAATTTCTATTACTCGTACATTGTTTTGATACACTTTAATTTCATAAACCCTTTAAATTGTATCAATACAGTGTTTCAAAACAGTATAGCAATAATAAAATAAGATAGTACTTTCTAAGATAAGATAATTAAAATTCTTTAATTTTAGTTGTCAAATTTTAAAAGTTTTTAAACATATCTCTAAAAAAAATGAAGAGAATTTATATACATATGAGATGAAGGGGTGTGAGAGACAAACACATCAGGTAATGTAGAGATAATTAAATGTGGGATTAGTTTCTAAAATCGTTTTTAGCAAACTTATTCACAATAAAAGGGTATTCAAGTCTTTCTATGTCTTAAGTGGATTTTTTTACAAAATATTTTTTTTTCTATGTACTTTTTGACAATTAAATTTAATTGTGTGTCGATTTTCAAAGGACCCATTTGTATATATACTATAGTGAAAATTGGAAGTGAGTCCCCCTAAATGTACTTGTTTGAAGATAAGTCCTGCAATGAAACTTATAAGGGGCTAAGTCCATGTTTAAAATTATATCTAATGACTTAAGTCCACTTTTTTTTTTTTTTTTCTTAAAAATACACTTCCTTGAAAGAAAGTTAATTTTTTCTCTCTCATATCTATCTGTATCCATATATAGATTAAAAGTTTGACTAATATTAAAATTTTTCCTCTTTTTTATTTATTTATATTCATAGATAGGTTAGGCATATATATAGTAACATTAAAAAAAATAGTAACATTCAAATACAAAAAAAATTACTATGAATTTGAATAGTAAAATTCAAATTCATGTTACTGTTTTTGTTGAGTATGTTATTGTTCATGTACTATTATTTTTGAGCATGTCACTATTTTTTTTGACCATGTTTCTACTATTATTTACCTAAATATTAATATTCAATATTACTATTATTTTTTTTTTGAATATTACTATTTTTTGTATTTGAATGGTACTATTTTTTGCGTTTGAATTTGAGATAAATAATTATTGTTAAGTATGTTACATTTTTTGTTAAGCATGTTACTTTTTTTGTTGAACTTGTTAATATTTTTGTTGAACATATTATTGTTGTTATTTTTTAAAAATATTAACATTGAATGTTTCAATTTTTTTTATATTTAAATGTTACTATTTTTTTTGTGTTTAAATGTATTATTTTTTGTATCCAAATGATAACTTGTTTTTGTATTTGAATGTTACTATTTTTTTTTTTTATGTTATATATATATAGTCCATTTTTTGTCAATTTTACCATACTATCTCTTCCCTTTAGAAGTAAAATAATGGACAAAACATGGGCAAAAAATTGACAAAAAAAATAGACTTCATAACAAATAAGTTTCATTAACGGACTTAAGTCCAGGGGATCGGCCTTTAAATTTTTCAATAAAGTATATACCATTTCATTTTGGGCTATANAGACTTCATAACAAATAAGTTTCATTAACGGACTTAAGTCCATATAAGGGGATCGGCCTTTAAATTTTTCAATAAAGTATATACCATTTCATTTTGGGCTATACTAGAGGTTATGTACAATAGAACCTTTAAGGAATCCAGTGGAAAAGCCCAATAAACAAGAAATATATAGTATAGGGAAATTTAATTGTTATATTTTTCTTTTTTTTTTTTCCCTAGCAATCAGAACAGAAAATTTTTCAATTTGAATCTTTGGTAAATTATACTTTAACCCCTTTATCTATGTGTGTTTGTCTCATGTTGCTCTCTTTTGTGTTAGATTGATTCCAATGACTACTATATGTTTTCCCAGGCTACATCATGATTACAGCTTTAATTCTCAGTTGTGGGATGTGTATTGCTATTCATGTAAGGACATATCGATATTCCAATGATATATTCGTTTGGTTACTGAGAAATTCTGGTTTAATGCCATGGAATTCAAAGTGAGTTTTTATAGTATAATTAGTTATAACCTGTGCTTGAAGGTATAGAGTAATAAAAATAATATTAATAATAAATATATTTGTATTAATACTAAAAATTAAATTATAAATATAAAGAAGAGAAAAAAAAAATTAAACTCCAGTTGTAATAGGGGTGAGCAGTGGTAGTGGCGGTGGTGTTAAGAGGCGGTAATGGTTGTGGTGGGTGGCGACAATCGTGGTGACAGTGACAGTCGTGGGTAGCAACGATGATGGTGGTGGTTGGTTTTGGGTGACGATGATGGTAGTGGTAGTCATAAGTGACGACAGTGATAATGGTTGGTAATAGTGGTGGTGGGCGACGACAGGTTCTGCGAAGCAATAGTGTAATAAGTGGTGGCGAATGATAGTGGTGGTGATGATGGTAGATGTGGTGGGTGTGGATGACAGTGGATGGCGGTAGTGGTGGGCGATGACGGTGGCGACAATGATGGTGGTGGGGTGATAGTGGTAACGGTGGTGGTGGTGGTGGTGGTGATAGAGGTAATAGTGGGACAGTAACGGTGGTAGTAGAGTGACGGCAACTATGGTAGTGGTGGTGGTGGTGTGGTGGTGGAGGTGATGGTGGTGGGATAACAACGGCGATTGTTGTGACAAAGGTGGTGATGGGGTGGTGGCAATGGTTGTTGTGGCGATGATGGTGGTGGTGGTGGTGGTAGTGGTAGTAAGGGTGGGGCAGTTGGGGTGGCAATGATGGTGGTGGGGGTAGTTGGGGTGGTGGTAGTGGTGATTGTGGAATAATTTCAAACACTAATTTTTTTAAAATAATGATAAGAAATTATAAAGTACTTTTAAAAAGTCACACAAACACAGTCTTAGGGACATATTCCCTATTAAATTTAAAGTAAAATTTAAAGAGATCTCAATCGCAAAAAATAAAAATCATTTTATTTATCTTTTGAGATTTAAATTGTATTATACTTTTTTATATAGATTTGAAATGAAAATTTTCAGATTTTCCTTAGATTTTATGGTAATTAAATGAAGATTTTGGCGGCGAAAATATCATAAAATTATTCCTAATTGATAGCAGATTATTTAGAAATTAGGATTTCTAACTTCAATCAAACAGAGGAATTACACTTTTAAATATAGGTTCTGTAGTTCTCGTTGATTAAATAAAAAAAATCCAACAGAGGAATTCTTTTGCTTTTAGAAACTATCAAAGATTGTGAAAATATTTAACCTGCTTAATGAATAAACACACAAAAAAAGAAAAGAAAAAGTGAATAAAAATAATTTAGATTGTCAAGAAAATTATTTTAATAAAGGAACTAGAGATTCAAAAGTCACTTTTTTTTTGGCAAAAAAATGTCAAAATTAAGTGAAATAAAAAAGAAAATATCAGTATGCATTTTTTAGACTTCATATATGAAGTAAAATTTATTAAAGCTCCATCATATTGAAAAAAAAGGAAAACTGCAGGAGAGAAACTTATTTGTTGCACGAATAATAAATTATGCTTCTTTGCTTTCCTTATGCTATTTCTTAACTCCATGAAAGATGAAGTAATAGTTTCCTTCATTAACTGGGGTATGTAATGGGTATTTTGCTCCATTAGTGAGTGGTATAAATTCATGTAGCTGATCCCAAAAAAGAAAAGATAAGGCTTTGGAGATTTGGTCGAGTGCACAAATCAAGTCCGGCCTTCATCCATGTCCATTAAAAGCATATTTCTTCAATGTTCGAATTAAAAAACACTAACTGGTCGGAGACGATGCAATTTAACCTTTTTATTACTTTATTGCCATTCTAAATGCCGTAATTGGCTCATTATAAGTAGTTTGTTGGTGCTTAGTTGTGTATATCAGATATCTACTTGGCTTTCCTTAGCAATTTACTGGAATGGAGGATGTGAAAAATACTGAAGTAAATTCTCTTCCAAAAGCTTGTCTTGCACCATTGTTATCCGCCTGAACGAAGGATCGTTCAAACAGTCAACTTCCAATGAACCTAGATACTAACGGAAAAGTGGAACCCGAATGTGAGGGATCAATTCTGCTGGCCACTACAACAAAAAGGGAATTCCCCGCGTTTGACACACGCCGGCTAAACTAATATCCGGCATTCCTTTGAAGCATCCACTATACCAGCGTCGGGAAATTTTCTGGCATTTTCTTAAACGCCGTGAAATATATACCGATACTTTTCTCGACCAAAAAATAACTGTCACCTTTTTTGCAGGAATCTAACCACGAGAAAATTGCTGGCGTTTGTTAAACGCCGGGATTTGTTTTTTTTTCAAAAAAAAAAATTCTTTTCTGTTTCTATCATTTTTTGTTTTTTTTAACTGGGCAATAAAACCTATTAATTGAATCACATAAAAACTACATTCCACCCATCCATCCACCACATATTCAATTCAAAGTATTGCAAGGCTTCCTCCTAGACTGAGTTAGCAAATGACACGGCTCCCACACTTTAACATCAAATGTCAGGGACCTGACCTGCAACAGAACTCGACCACAGGTGGACAAAAAACTATTTTAGTATATCCATCAAAAGAAAACCATGCCAACATGTAAACATAATAAACAATTGCTTTTTCTTTTTGCAAATAATAATTTAAATACAATAGACCTCTACAGTAAATCTAATTGACTAAATATTGACGCTGTCTAGGAATAAGTCTGAATTTCCATTTATTTTATCTTGTATATTGACAAATATGTGGCTACATCTACCATATGGTCCTCGGTTTCTTCTTCATCACAGAATATTTGTAAAATCATCGACCAATAAATGTAAACTATAACCTTTTGGGCTTTGCTATGTAGTATAAATGAACATTTATATAACATGCAATCACATCTAAAAGATGCCGAAGAGATCCACAAGTACCCTTCAAAAAGGCATGTGGCCAAGATTATGAAATTTACCTTTGATATGTGCACACCGAGGTTTCAATGAATACCAGAACATTCTGTGCAAACAAGAACTCCAAGATTTAAGCAGCACCACAATCAGCACATTTATCATTTCCACATTCGCTCCGCAACATATCAATTGGCTTTTCACATTTTAGACCTGGTCGTTGCTGTTGTGAACTTCTCAATGCACGTTCATGATGTGCACGGGCAACCTTCTCGGATGCAAATTCTTCAACTGCTGCATGATCAAAATCACAACTTTCAAAAGAACTACTCTCACTGGCAGATCAAAGATGACCACTACCCATGGGACTAGCAAGCATGCACTAAAACAAAAACCAGTTGCAATAGTCAGTATGAAGATCAAAGGCCACATGCTTATTAATGAATTCCTATGGATTACCCTCTCAGCGGACTGAGAACACAGTAATGAAGCAATAACCCACGTTATCTTCTCAATCCAATCCATTTGATCCAGAGAACTCTCTGCCTGAACTTACAACAAAATATGAAACATCAATTCCAGGCAAAATCAACAGCAATTAGAAGTTATCCAGTGCATTACTCAGCATAACCACCCGCCAAGAAGATGGTTTGTGTCTTATATTCACATATATCAAAACTCAACATTGCAAGCTGCAGTAAGGCTACCAGTAAAGTGTAGTTCTTTGTTGGTGAAATAATCCGGAAGCAAAATCTCCCTCTCAAAGTCTTCCTGCTGATTAGCGAAAGCAAACATCGAAAGCAAATTACCATAGAGGTGCACATGGTGTAGAAAGCTCCAGAAAAGGGTATGGCCACCTAGGAGAATCCTTTGAATGAGCAAATGATCCACTGGAAAATGACATAGCAGCAGCTCCAGAGCACAAAATATGCAAACCAGAACCAAGGAAATAAATAAACCATAGAATAATATGGCACTATGTTCTCTAATAGACCCAGTGCCCCTTTACCATCCTAAACCACAAAAATGCATGTTGGACCCCAAAAATGCATGCCACAACTGTTGCAAAAAGTTATATATATGCCAATAATCCAGCGAAGAGTCGAATCACCAGTCTACTTGAGGTGAACAGCATCGTATCAAATAGTATAAAAGAAAAGGCACCCATGAGCACATGGTTGAACTTGAAGCAATAAGTATAAAAGACGAAAATGCCAGAGTTTTATCAATTTGGTATGGAGAAAAGATGTTAAATATGAAATGCAGTTGTAATCATATTAGATGACTGTCGATGGCTGCAACAAGGAATCTAAAAGAAATAGCCCATCATGAGGGACATTTTGGTGGTTACAGGTAAGACATAATCGCTAATGAATGTTTGGCTTCAAAGAAAGCATTCGAGAGAACCAGAATCCACGAGGCAAGTATTCTGATCCCGATCAAAGCATAAAGAAGTAAAGCTTTAAATGAGGTGCTCCAGTGAACATTTCTGGCACCTATATCGCTTTTTCATTTGGCTAAGCAAGCTGTCAAAATGCCTCATTTCACCACTCTCACAATCCTCGACCAATTCAATAATAATGAACATTTCTTTAGAGACTACAAGCTGCAACACATTTTTTTCATTCCATGTAAACTAGTGATATTTTTTTACATTTCTATTGATCTAAATACTAACTTATTTCTTTTTATCCTCCAATTTTACAACATAAGTTAATCAGAACAAATGAGAAGCAAAGAAAACATGGGAGTTACCAAATACTTCAACAGCAGACATGAATTCTCAACTCAATAGAGGCCTAACATCCTTAGCTCTGTAACATGTGAGGGGTCAACTTCTGGGAGATTCTTTTGAGCTTCTTAATCTTCTACCACATATTCCTGGAATTACAACATTAAGAATCAATCAAAAGAACACAAAAACCTAATACTTGATGACCTTATGAGAACACAATAGAAGAATAATTGCTCAAGCTGAGCTCTCTTCGATGGACACTAGGGATTCGATGGTGAAGGCTAGGTGCGAAATCTGACCAATACAAATTACATTTTAAGAAAATAACTTGAACACATACATGGATCTATACAAAATCAATGCCAAAGGTCAAAACACTTAAACACATACATCGATCTGAGAGAGTGACGAACTCAACGAGGCAGACGACGAGGTAGATGACACTCTAATCGACGGAGGGCTTGATTTCTTTGATGACAGACTCGAAAAGTGCGTCAGAAAGCCTGAACATGACGACGAAGAGGTGAGGCAGCGAGAAGTGATTTCTTTTTCTCTCTGTTCGCGCCGATCATTCGTCATTTGCGTCTTCGACCTCACCTCAATGAAGTCATCCTCATCATTGGGAGCCTCTATGCCTGATTACAGCTTTCAAGCATATGAAGCCATAAAGAGAACGGCGACAAGGAGTTGACTGAGAGAGGAACGGCGAGGAANGGAGAATCCTTTGAATGAGCAAATGATCCACTGGAAAATGACATAGCAGCAGCTCCAGAGCACAAAATATGCAAACCAGAACCAAGGAAATAAATAAACCATAGAATAATATGGCACTATGTTCTCTAATAGACCCAGTGCCCCTTTACCATCCTAAACCACAAAAATGCATGTTGGACCCCAAAAATGCATGCCACAACTGTTGCAAAAAGTTATATATATGCCAATAATCCAGCGAAGAGTCGAATCACCAGTCTACTTGAGGTGAACAGCATCGTATCAAATAGTATAAAAGAAAAGGCACCCATGAGCACATGGTTGAACTTGAAGCAATAAGTATAAAAGACGAAAATGCCAGAGTTTTATCAATTTGGTATGGAGAAAAGATGTTAAATATGAAATGCAGTTGTAATCATATTAGATGACTGTCGATGGCTGCAACAAGGAATCTAAAAGAAATAGCCCATCATGAGGGACATTTTGGTGGTTACAGGTAAGACATAATCGCTAATGAATGTTTGGCTTCAAAGAAAGCATTCGAGAGAACCAGAATCCACGAGGCAAGTATTCTGATCCCGATCAAAGCATAAAGAAGTAAAGCTTTAAATGAGGTGCTCCAGTGAACATTTCTGGCACCTATATCGCTTTTTCATTTGGCTAAGCAAGCTGTAAAAATGCCTCATTTCACCACTCTCACAATCCTCGACCAATTCAATAATAATGAACATTTCTTTAGAGACTACAAGCTGCAACACATTTTTTTCATTCCATGTAAACTAGTGATATTTTTTTACATTTCTATTGATCTAAATACTAACTTATTTCTTTTTATCCTCCAATTTTACAACATAAGTTAATCAGAACAAATGAGAAGCAAAGAAAACATGGGAGTTACCAAATACTTCAACAGCAGACATGAATTCTCAACTCAATAGAGGCCTAACATCCTTAGCTCTGTAACATGTGAGGGGTCAACTTCTGGGAGATTCTTTTGAGCTTCTTAATCTTCTACCACATATTCCTGGAATTACAACATTAAGAATCAATCAAAAGAACACAAAAACCTAATACTTGATGACCTTATGAGAACACAATAGAAGAATAATTGCTCAAGCTGAGCTCTCTTCGATGGACACTAGGGATTCGATGGTGAAGGCTAGGTGCGAAATCTGACCAATACAAATTACATTTTAAGAAAATAACTTGAACACATACATGGATCTATACAAAATCAATGCCAAAGGTCAAAACACTTAAACACATACATCGATCTGAGAGAGTGACGAACTCAACGAGGCAGACGACGAGGTAGATGACAATCTAATCGACGGAGGGCTTGATTTCTTTGATGACAGACTCGAAAAGTGCGTCAGAAAGCCTGAACATGACGACGAAGAGGTGAGGCAGCGAGAAGTGATTTCTTTTTCTCTCTGTTCGCGCCGATCATTCGTCATTTGCGTCTTCGACCTCACCTCAATGAAGTCATCCTCATCATTGGGAGCCTCTATGCCTGATTACAGCTTTCAAGCATATGAAGCCATAAAGAGAACGGCGACAAGGAGTTGACTGAGAGAGGAACGGCGAGGAATCGACTAAGAGAGGGACAGCGAGGAGTCGACGGAGAGATCGACGGGGAGAGGAGTTGACGTAGAGATCGACGGAGAGAGGAGTCGATGAAGAGATCGACGGGTAGAGGAGTCGAGAGTGAGAGAGAGGCGCTAATAAAATTGGGGAAAAAGGATTAGGTTTATATTGGGGAGAGAAAAAAATAGTTTTTAATTTTTTTTAATTAACAATTGTTGGCAACATTTAAAGTAAACGCCGTAAATTAAATGTAAAAACAAGAAAAAAAATGTTATTTTTTATTAAAAATTTTTGGCGTTTAAACATAAACGCCGGTGTTAGTAACGTTTTATTTAAACGCCGTAATTAAATGCTAAATTTTCTCATAATTCTTGTAGTGTGGCCCAAGTTTAGAACAGGTTCAAGTTCTTGCAGCAGGCTATCCAGTGTCCACCTCTCGTGTTGATAAAACAAGACATGACCATCCGGGCTCTGTGGATAAAGATTGTAAAGCTGGAGGTAGGAAAAATACTTTTGATGGATCTCAGCTTCAGCAGGAAGTTTCAGTTCCATCAATAAAGAATCCAGAGCTATTGGATCCTCTAAAACAGGCATATTTAACAGGTTTCTCGGAATCAATTCCACTTGATACATCAGAAACAAAACCAAATGCTGCTTTGAAACAACCCCAACAAAATGGTACAATTGACAGTGACCATGTTCAACCAAATGGTACTTCTGGTGGACCTGCAGTTGAGCTGGGTGCCTCACTTGTATTGTCCAGGAATCCAACATTGGAGCCTCAAAAAGAAGAAAACATAACAGGGTCCTCGGAAGTAAAACCGGATGATGCTTTGCTGTTATCTAAAGAAGGTGACCCTGTTGGAAGTGTCGGCGTTGCTGATGACGAAATTATAGCTTCTGCTTCATCCCCTCAATTAAGAGACTCTGAAAATGGCCATCGCGTAGTGTCATTTAACGAGGACGCTCAGGTCCTAGCCAAGGTTTCTAGGGTTGCAGTAAAGACACCAGAACCCATTGATCATACTAATTATGTGGAAAAGGTCAACATAAGCAGAGGTCAAATCGATACAGCAGCACCTTTTGAATCTGTTAAAGAAGCTGTTTCTAAATTTGGTGGTATTGTCGACTGGAAGGTCCACAGACTCCAAATTGTAGAGGTATGAGGTATTCCAACTTCATTTCTTCTACTAAACAGTTTAACGATATCCCCTTTGACTTGCAGGTACTTGGACCGGCTCCTAGCACTGCAAATTATCTGCATCATTGTGTTCTTATTTTTATTTCATTACAGTATTCTATAGTCTACAGCATTTATAAAGGAGATAAAAAAATAGAAGTTTTGATTTTACATTTAGTTTTGTTTCTTGATTCTGTTCTACTTGACTTCCTTGTGGTATCAAGTTGTGTGATGACGTGTTAGAATTGCTCACAAAGATTGTTTTTGCTGCAACTTTGTATTTCAAATTAGAGACACTTCCATCTCGTGAGAAAGTAGTCCAAATTTTCTTGAATGGTCTTTGCAGAGGCACAAATTTATCGAGCAAGAACTTGAGAGAGCGCAGGAGGAGATTCCATTCCTTAAGAAAAAGTCTGAGGCTGCCGAATATGCAAAAATACAAGTTTTGAAGGAGCTAGAGAGCACAAAGAGACTCATTGAAGAACTCAAACTCAATCTGGAGAGAGCACAAAGGGAAGAGCTTCAAGCAAAACAGGATTCTGAACTTGCCAAACTCAGGGTGGAAGAGTTGGAACAAGGGATTGCTGAAGAGGCTGGTGTTGCACCCAAGGCACAGCTCGAGTTTGTTGGGGCCAGGCATTCAGCTGCAATATCAAAGCTAAACTCTGTGAAAGATGAGTTGGAAGAAATTCATAAAGATTATTCTTTATTAGTGCCAGAGAAAGACAAGGCTGTTATGAAAGCTGTGGCGGCCATGTCTGCATCAAAACTAGAGAAGACAGTAGAGGATCTGACCATTGAGCTGATAGCCACAAAGGAAACCTTCGAGTCCGCACATCTGGAGGCAGAGGAACACAGAATTGGGGCAACTATGGCAAGAGAACAAGATACTCTTAATTGGGAGAAGGAATTGAAGCAGGCAGAAGAGGAGTTAGAGGGACTAAACTAGCTAATTTTGTCATCTAGGATCCTCAAATCAAACCTAGATACAGTTTCCTCGTTGCTCCAGGATTCGAAAGCTGAATTGGGAGCTTATATGGAATCCAACTAGCAGCATGAAACTGATGGACAGTCAAAAAGTTGGCTTGACGAATCAGAGAAGAAAACTCATGCTGCTATACAGGCAGCAGCCGTTTCGGCCAAGAAGGAACTTGAAGAAGTGAAGATCAACCTTGAAAAAGCAGCAGCTGTAGTAAGTTGCTTGCAGGTGGCCTCCACATCATTGAGGTCTGAGCTGGAAAAAGAAAAATCAGCTCTTGCCACCATTAGGCAGAGAGAGGGAATGGCTTCAGTGGCAGTTGCATCTCTTGAAGCTGAGCTGAACAGAACTAGGTCACAGATCACTCTTGTTCAGATGAAGGAGAAAGAAGCAAAAGATAAGATGGTGGAGCTTCCCAAGCAACTACAAGAGGCAGCTCAAGAGGCTGATCAGGAAAAGTCACTTGCTCAAATGGCTCGTGAAGATCTAAGGAAGGCAAAGGAGGAAGCAGAACAAGCAAAGTCTGGAGCAATTACCATGGGAAGTAGACTGCTTGCAGCTCAAAAGGAGATGGAGGCTGCAAAGGCTTCTAAGAAGTTGGCATTAGCAGCTATCAACGCACTGCAAGACAGTGAATCAACTAGAAGTACAAATGACGAGGGTTCACCAGCTGGAGTAGCAATTTCTGTAGAGCAGTACTATGAGCTCAGCAAGTGGGCCTACGAAGCAGAGGAGCAGGCCAACATGAGGGTGGCTGCTGCCCTATCCAAAATTGAGGTGGCCAAAGAGTGTGAGTCGGAAATCTTGAGTAAGTTAGAGGAAGTGAATTGTGAGATGGCTGCAAGAAAGTAAGCATTGGAAATTGCATTGCAACAGGCTGAAAAGCCAAGGACGGGAAATTGGGTGTGGAACGAGAGTTGAGAAAGTGGAGGAGGGCTGAACATGAGCTAAGGCGAGCTGGTGTAGCCATTCAAGGAGTGGCAAAGCCAGCTAAGAGTCCAAGAACAAGCTTTGAGTTTGAGGAGAGAAAAGAATCAGAGAGTTTTAACCATTCACTAGATGTTGCTGTACCTCAGGATTATATGCCGAACCCAAAGGCAAATGTTCAGGGAAGCTACACTGAAACTGATTCTTCCCCAGAAGTGAAGGTTACAAAGAAAAAGAGGAGATCATTTTTCCCACGATTTTTCATGTTCTTGGCCAGAAGATAGGCGCAGGCATCCAAGTCGGCTTGATACTCTATTCATACTGCTTCGTCGCCATTGTTATTAAATTCAAGCCAACCTTTGTAGGGTAGGACCTTGCAGTGACCAGAATTGGAGATTACGTTACGACAGAATCTCTAGTGTACATGTTGAGCATTGTTTTCTGTAGGATGAGTTTAGTGGATTGGTTTTTCCTCCGGAGTGTAGTCACGGGACGATACAGAATCAGAGGGTTTCAGTCTTTTTTAAATTGCACGTTTTGCAAATAAATGAATTTAACACGATACGAATAATATAAGTAAAACTAATAAAAAAAATACACAATGTAATTCGTTTATATATCAACTATACACGAAATGAACTTAATATTACATAATTTGTTAGATAAAAATTAATAAATGAATTAGATATGAGTTGAATATTTTATAATTCGAACTTATTAAAATCTCACACGAACTCCGGCTCCCACGATAAAAGAGGTCTACTCTGACCCTCTCTTTTGTTAATAGTAATATAATATATATTGCCCGGGGTAGTTTTTCATAATGCAAAAGAATTGAGGCGGCTCACTGAAACGTGCATCTAAACGGAGGGGCAACTTGTAATATTTCAAAATTATTTGCAATATCAAGTAAGGTAACCCAAGCTTGAGCTTGTGAATGATAATGGTTTATCGTGTCCTTTTCTTATCTGACACCATTCTTCCAGATGTAAGGCCCAAACACAGCAATTTCCAGTGATAACCGGTAAGCATTCCCTTCCTTTATCATCTACATCTTTCAAGGTGAAATGAAACGGAAATGGAAAACTTTATATGATCTGAATCGTTCGACTTCACCTCTGTTTTCTAAGCACTTCAGTCGAATCTATTCTTGTGACGTTTAGGATAGAGACTAATGGTAAACTATTGGTTGACATTGGTTGTCGTGTAAACACTTGTCAGGAACTTATGATCCGTTGTAGTTGGTTTGATTTTCTGTAGATGTTATTCAGCTGTGTTATGACCTTAGTTTCTGTAGATAATAGCCTTTTGCGTGCAGATGTGGTGCTTGGGTATTTGCCAGTTTGTAGGAATGAGAGTCTGAAGTTTACGCACTAGTGGCTGAGCCACAAATTCACATACCCTTCATGTCATGGAGTCATTAGGGGTGTTTTTGAAGTGACAAATTTGGTGTCTTTACCGTCAAAGATGTCTCAATAAGGTTGTGAGGTCTGAAGAATACCTTTGAGGTTGTGTATATGCAATTGGCAAAATGATGCTCATTATTGCTAGCTGGAGAGATGCTTGTTTAGTGGGCATCATGTGTTTCCTTTTCAGCCTTAGTTCGTTGCAACAGATAAATCTGAGAAATAATGCAATTTTTTTTTTACTTGGCCTGGCTTCACTGCTGAAATGAATATTAGGGGCAACAGTTTTGCTTGTTTTGCAATGCTAAAGTTATTGGGTTCGAAGTTGTTTTTACTTTTTACCCTTCAAATCTTTGCCTATATCTTGTGGTAATAGCTATGTGATTTGCAGCCATTGCAAGTATTTTCTGGTTATGCTAGTGGGCAAATATATCCATAAGGAATCCACAGGCGCACAATGTTACACAACTTGTACAACTTGAGTGTATCTATTTTTGATGGGATGTGCTATATAATCATGTATCACTATATTATGTTGGTGGTAATGTAGGCAATACTGTTGTGCTCAGATTCTTCAGGCAAAATAACTGATCTGTGACCAACTGTTTGGTTCCATATATTCAACAATCAGTCATTTGTCATCTGTATAGTTTACACTTTATTTTGAATCAATTGTAAGTGTTCTTTAATTTTCCTAGTTATTTACGACATTGGTCTAGATTTTCACACAAAAAAAAAAAACTTTTTTGAGTAGTTTGAACTTTTGTTTCATTTGCACAAATGTTATGCTGTATTTTAACAATAACAAGACTCTAATGATTTCGTTTGTCATTTCTTGCAGCAATAATTACCAAAATTATACATCCCNACTTTTTTGAGTAGTTTGAACTTTTGTTTCATTTGCACAAATGTTATGCTGTATTTTAACAATAACAAGGCTCTAATGATTTCGTTTGTCATTTCTTGCAGCAATAATTACCAAAATTATACATCCCTCAGCTCATGGAACGAGATGCTGATGTGAAGATTCTAATGAAATACAATCACTCTATTATTTGGAGCATTTGTTGACACTCATCAACAGTTCATCTTAAATGCTTTTCAATCTGAGAATTGTACGAGTTACTGTTTTGGAGATCTGCCATGTGCAGTCATGCAAAAGCTGAGTATTCTTTATCAGAAGGGGCCTTCAAATTTGGGAAAAAACATGTATGGGCAACTCGATTCTAGATTTTTTGCTGTAGTACCTAAGTTGATGCTGGACAAAAGTGTCATTAAATCATGTGGTTTGAAGGCCAGATTCCCTCATATTATTGGTATTGCGGGTCAGGACTTCATGAAAAGAAGTCGCATATTTCAAAATTTTCAAGTCAAAGGTATGGCTAGTGAAAATCTGGAAGAGTTATCTGATGAAGATGAGGAGCTCTGTCCCGTAGACTGTGTCAGGGAAATTAAAACTGATGAGGAACTCTTGAGAATTTTGGAGAAGGCCAAGGACTCTAATTCTTTAGTTGTGGTGGATTTTTATCGGACTTCATGTGGTAGCTGCAAGTATATAGAACAGGGGTTTGCAAAATTATGCAAGAGATCTGGTGATAAAGAAGCTGCAGTCATCTTTTTAAAGCACAATGTAAGTGATGCTTCAATCTTTTTGTTAGTAGGTTGTTCTTATTGTATTGTATGATTCAAAAGATCAAATAAATGTTTTGAAATAATACCTTCGATAGGTTCGCCTGTGGTGGTTGACCTATTTATATTGCTTTGTTTTTGTCAACAGACTTAGCACAAGGTTTTTTGCCATAAATCAAAATTCTTTGGGAATCTAAATCTTCTTTTTCTTTATTATGCCATAAAATGTGAGGTTCTTGTGCTAAATTCTGCAGGTAATTGATGAATATGATGAACAATCTGAGATTGCTGATCGACTACGAATCAAGGTAAGCTTTTTTAGTAGCTTTTATCTAATTAGATGAATTTGGTAGTTTAAACTATTTTGATGAGGGTATGCTAAAGGATTTCAAGACAAACTATGGTGTGAGATTTTTTCTGTTAATTAAAATGGAAAGAAGAAAGGACATAAAAGATTAACCAGAAGCTCCTTGTTCCTTGTTCAGCCTTCTATTTCTTTTGGCTGTCTAGATAGATTTATGATTTTTATGAGGATAGTACGACTACAATCACGTTCATGCTTATTGACCGTACATTTTTTAGTTCTGTTCTTGGATTTTCTCGTAAAGATATAACAAATCATTGAGATTTTTTCCTTCATATTACTCAAACGAAATTGATGTGTACCTGATTTGTTTCAGACAGTGCCCCTCTTTCACTTCTACAAGGGTGGAGACTTGCTGGAAGCCTTCCCAACCAGAGACAAAGAGAGGATTGATGCAGCCATTCTTAAATATACAAATCTGGCATCTTCAGATTTATGAGCTGCAAGGGTTATGTTTCTGATCTTAATGCTTGCGTACACAGCCTTATATGATACTGGGTTAAAATGCGCGATAAGTGTTTGCTACAGCAAATACTGGGCTAGACGTGGCTCAAAACACATGGGGAAGTGAGCAATGGGCATTGGAACTCCATGGTCATCTGGCATCTGGTTGTGGCCAACAAATAATAACTACCAGCAGTTTTGTGAACGAGGCTTGTCCCATTTTAGTGATTTTGATGGTGCTGGATTAGCTTGAGTTTATATGCATTGTCAATGTGATTCATATTTGTGCTCTCTATTTCATAGTTCACATTTCAAATATTCATTTGTTAACCCAAATACAGTTTTATTCAGCTGCGCCTTTTCTTCTTTCTTTTTTCATTTTTCGGTTCTTTTATAACATCCTTTTTTGGACTCGTGGTTGCAATACAAACATCAGATGTTCTCTTCGATTTTCTAGTAAATTTCTATGCACACCCTCTCATCCTACATTCTCACTTCTAGACACAATTCAGATGGGCCAAATCTCATTTTTTAAGGGTTAGCAAAACTCTCAATTCTTCACTAGAAATACAGAACATTACAACTCATTCTCCCCGGATAAGGCCATATACAAAATAATTAGACAAATGAAGGGTGTTCATCCCCAAACATAATAGGCAGTTAACAGGACGATCCATAAGCTGAGTAGGAATGTTCAATAGATCTGGAAAATCTAATTAAACTAAGCCGGCAAGTGTGGAATTGACAACTCAAATCAAACAACAAACAGCGTGATTTCGTGTCAAATATGCTACAAGAATACACAGGAGCCGTCACACCTACCATCTGATGTCAGTCTTTTACAAGAAACGATGGACCCACGGTCATTGTACAAAGCCACAATGATCCCCAGGTAAACATAGTTTATTTCAGAAATCAACAAAACAGCTGCTATGATATCCTTTCATCTGATAACGCATCAATAATTATGAAACGGGTGTAATCCAAATGAGGCATAATCCAACTATAAAAGTCTGTTGAACCAGAAATAACCAGATCTGATAATTAAACGAAGGAAACAGAAATGCCTGGTCTGCCAAGGGAGAGTGGCTTTTTAACCCACCAAGAGTCGATGAACAATGGAATTGGGCAGCATTTAAAAACACTAACCCAGAGGTCGTGGTGAAGCTTTAAATTTGATTTTGTTACCCTAAACTGTTTTGAATATGCACGCAATGCTTCAATTGGCACTTGAGTTTACAAAGTATGGCTATCTAGAAAGCATGCTTTCATACCCTTTGTTCATAAGTATTTTCAAGAACTGGAACCCCTGGTCCATATATCAATTGACAACGGTCATTAAATGAACCAACTAATCGAGAGACCACCTCCTTAAAAAACATGTTCGCCATCTGTCAGACATATAAGAATATCAAACTGATTAGAATGCTTCAAACTGCTCTTCAGTAAAAAAAATTAAAAAATTAAAAAGACTTCAAACATGAAACTATAAACTCTAAAACAAACTCATTTATATTAACCAGCAAGATGGAAAGAAACTAGTAAAGATTCAGTATATAACTAAAATCCGTTATTGAAAGATAATTCAACTACTAGTAAGCACAGAAGTCCTCTAACCCAACACAACTAACTCAAAATAAACCTTGAAGGAAATGCCAGGACAGTGAGCAGGTCCAAATATTATGAGGGTCACCCAAAAAAGGTTCAAAATCAAATGAAGCTAGTTAAAATTGCAAGCGTTTACACAATCTGAGTAGTTGACAAATAAGCAAGCTCTTTATAGATGGACAAGTACCACTAACAAACATCATTGAAGGAATCTCAGGCTCCATCACTTTTGTGCAACTATTGGTCATTAACTAGCTGTAAAAAATAAAACATGGGAATCATTTATCCAGAGCACCAATGGCAAAACATGCAACATTTTCTTAAATTTGTCCTGGTCACAGGCAAATAACACACCACTGTAGAAACCCTAGAAATAAGAATCTTTTCAGGTTAAATTATACTATCAAAACACTGGCACATCCAATAAATGGCCTGAGCCAAATATCATCCGATGTAGTTGATTCTTAACCTAATTAACCTTTCCAACAGATCTTCAACAATAATTCAAGAAGTGATATTATGTAAAAGTTCAGTAATCAACATACATGAATGCCATAACGCAAAAAACCTAAAATCACAGGCATGTATAAAAATATAAGAGGCTTCAACTACATGCAAGCCAGTGGCATCACATCATGCATTAACAGGCCTACTTCATACATTGGATCAATTAGATAATTCAGATCTCCTTATGTTGGAGATAAGTCAACAACTACTCCATCAGTGCCCCATAAAAATGCTATAGCAGAAGCATGTTTTGGTGTACTTCAAAATCCAAGGATTTGAAGTTGGTTGAAAGTTTCTGATTGCAGGGAGATTGGCTCCTCCTCCCTACACACCCACCTCCTTTTTGTAGGAAGATATCAATCCAACTGGATCCCACAAAGTAAAATATTTACTGCCTGGATAAGTATATTGAGACTGTGAAATGACAGACAGCAGCAAAAGTGCAGTGATTCCATATATCAAGTAGGAAATGCTGTGATAGCAACAGTATCCTAATGGTCGCAGTGGGGCCTGATGGAATTAGTAGGTTGGGTGGGGTGGGGTGGCAGCAGTGATGGACGAAATGAGATGGAGATTGTGAAGGCAGTGCAGGAGATGGTGTGGACGGTAAGGTGGCTAAAGCCGTGAAAGTTACAAGAGAGTTGAGGTAATTGGTGAACTGGTGGTCCTAATGATTGTGTTGGAAGGGTATGGGAAATTCATATAAGCAGTGATGGTAAAACAGAGGAAATGAAGAGTAATGTTGAGTCTGGTGTTGGTACTAATGATGGTGGGCCTTACAGCAGTTTAATGGAGATTTTGTGATGATACTAGCTCTAGTAAGTGCCTGAAGAGAGCAGTACCCTGATTCCCCCCAACTGATGTTTTGAGATACACATCTTCTTAATGATCCACGCAAGGATTTGTCTGTTCAATTTCAGGATGAGATAGGATTCCAATGATGATATATGGAGGCCAAACTCCATATCCACTTCCCCCCCCAAAAAAAAAAAAAAAAAATTCTCAACACAGCGACAAAGACAAGAAGATAGCTGCTCAACATTAAATGCAATGCCGTGCAAGCAGAACCAGTTTTCCCAATTTATTCACAAAGTGAAAATTATCATCATCTCCACATCCTATAAAAATCAAACTTACTTATAAATTGTTCATTCAGGAGACTATGGCAGCACTGAGTTGGCAATGATTCCAAAGTTTACAAAGCTCACCTGTCGATATAAAGGGGACTGGAACTTAAAGTCCACAAAGAAATGGAGGTTGCAAGTTCCTGGAACTGGTCCCGGATTGAATTCCCATATGTTTATCAAATGATCAAAAACGTTACTTTCTGATGCAGTTGTCTGGAAGGAAAAATAAGAAACATAAGTACATTAACAGAGATAACTCAACTCAAGAAATCCTTTTTCCTGACTATTTGGGGTAAGCTAAGCACATTAACAGAGATACCGGTAAATATCAGAAAATCATAATTGAAGAACATAAGGAGGCCCATTTCAAACATTAAAAATATATTGCAAAAACCTTATCTGTGAATGAAAATAAGATTCATAATTAACAACATTACAATTTTTTGATTTTGGACTCGTATCAACAAACTGATACTGTCCCCTATGAACCAGTGCCTTAGCCTATAACATTCATTTAACTAAATGCCCACTCCGAAGATCGCAACATTTTGTAGAAACATAATACACAAATCAGTTCCTTGAGTGCTTTTGCTGCTGGTGCCATGTGACAACAGACTACAGCAATATTCTGATCTAGACTATCACCTCTCCTTGTCGAAATTTGAAAAGAAATTCAACCAAAAAGAGAATCTCAAAATCCTATATCACTTGTTCTGACAAAAAAAAATTAGTTCAGGATGTTGATAAGTTTAGAACCCAAAAAAGTTTCCAGAGAAAAACCGCTTTTTAGACTTCGTCCAGACTAAGAAATTTGGAGCACGGATGAACTGGGAGGGAAGAAATCAACAAAAAGCTTGAACCAAAACCCAAACTCAAACCAAGGTCAGACCATGTTGAATTTGTCTCATGCTCGTTTCCATGTGATTAACTTTAGTTTACTTGAATGAATAAGTAGTATTGGAACTAAAAAACCATAATATTTATATGTTAAAAAAAACCAATAAACCATAGTTTTTACAATTTTAATACCATGTACATTTGATAATATATTCCTATTTTCCCAGAACTTGGCCTAGCAACATATTATATGTTATCATATTCATGTGTCATGCATGTCCATAGCATGATTCACGAAGGTCTTCTGTTAGTCATCTTTTTCAGGTAGCTTTTTCTTTCAAATGTGACAGAAAAATTAATCCAACATTCTCGCTTGTATCTTATGAAAAATTTCCTCAATGGTAAAACCCTGTCATACAATTTTTTGCTGCTCTAAATTCAGTCAATTGAATCACCAAGAATAATGTACTCACAACAAGCACAGTGTTACAAACACACACGAGATATTTTGTTGGCCTCAACTCCTTAACATAGTGAAAATAACCTTCCGGAAAAAAAAAAACAGAGAGAAAATAAATTGTGAATATTCAAGCTTTCGAAAAGTCTGATAATAGACATTATTTGCTAGATTTTTAGTGAACAAAAAAGATGTATTGGAAAGTAACACTTCTAGAAACAAACACCATATATTTGAAAGGAAATTCCATACCTTTATAAAGTTCGGTTTTCTTAATTCCACATGAGAGACATAACTTTCAACAAGAAATTTGAAACCAATCTCCAGCTCAGCATCAAATGATCCATCACGATGGCGTCGAATTATCTCTGACCGTTGACACCAGGGAAGAAAATCCTCATACAAGTCAACAGCAGCAACCACAGCAAATAACTGCTCTGGAGAATACCTAATAGCCAAAAACTACATCAGTTCATTCTAAAGTCGATAAAATTCATCAAAGGGAATAGATAACATTTAGAAGCCTGAAGTTCCCCTGCTGGTAATAGAAATACTCTTCGGAACATAATATTCTACATAAAGCTAATAGCCTAATAATGGAATAATCATTCATAGACTTTAGATAGCAAATCATAGGAACAAGATAATAGCCAAAAAATGGGAAGTTAAAGAAATACTATAAAAGAAGGATTAAGGCAGGTAGGATAAGCATAGAAAGTAGCTTGGCGACCGTAGTAACACGTATATACAAACACAAAAGGGTGCAAAAAACAAAGGTTCTATCAACCAAAGGAGCAAATACATGCAAAGAACAAATTAAGGAGCTAATATTTCAGAGAACCACAAAGAGGACATCAATTTCAATTATTGAGCAGACAGTAGCAGGACGAACATCGGATAGTAGCATTACTTATCTTATGTTAGAATGCAATTCGCTCACCTTGCGATCTTGATAGAATTATCAAAGATAACAATAAGTAAGCCCGAATTTTCTCCACATAAACATGAAGAAGAAAAATTTTCAAGCTTTAGGGGATGCCTATGTTACTGGAAAACAAAAAATATCTCAATGTTACTAGGTGTTAATGCTCAAATAAGGTAGCAAAAAACTGCATAAAGGTCTTAAGGCTTACCCCATAACGCGCTTCTCCTCGTAAAGTTTGGATAAAACATTCCCCTCTTCGCCATCACCACATCCCAGAAATCCCCTCCTTTGAATAGCCCGATTGCACAAGCGTCCCAATAAGGCATAATCATCCTTATGATAATTACCAACTTTGGCTGATGAAAATGCTTCGATAAAGGCTATGCTACTCAAGCATCGAATCTGAACAAAATTTCCCAATAGCAAATTGTTCTTGGAATATCTCATCATCTGTTTGATTGAATTTCTATGCGAAACCAAGCGCCCAACCGCAATCGAAGTCGACAAAAACGAAGGCATTGTTAAAACTACTTTCTAACAAAACTGGCTAACAATTGAAAACATTACCGAACTCCGTCATTGAACTACCCCCAAAATTGCCTTGAACATTATAACCTAATAATCGTGAAATTGATAACAATCGCGAAGTAAGACAAATTAAGACCCGATCAAGGTTCATAATTAATAAATTGAATAAGGACACACAGAAATGTGATGGAGAATCGAAACCTTAGGGTGTGATTGCTTGTTTTAGAAGAACATACCTCAAAGTTGCCTACCTAAATTCATGCGAAAACGAGGATAAATAGCCTGAAAATACTGGAATTCGGACAAGCAAGCGAATTGGTAGGGCATCTGGCGTTTATTCTTTCGCTTGCCCATTTACCGGTTGCAATTGAACATTTTATAGTAAACTTGCATATAATGCCTCTAACTATGTTATTCGTCAAGTAAGTTCTTAAATTAATGTTTGTATCAAGTTAACCCCTCAACATTGTAATTTTTTTTTTTCTTGTACAAAAAATAAATATACATATAAGTCACTCCATTTATCCACTAGAGATTATTGTCTCTCAGTACCACACAAAGTACCATACAAATATCTACAGAGAACCACATTGCACTTACGTCATGGCCAAAATTAAGGTCTCACGACGTGTTATAGGCATTGTAGAATAAGTTTAGTACTAACAAACTACCATATCTATAGAGATTAAAACTAAAGCATTCAGTGAAAAAATTTGAATTCTTATACACTGAACAACTCATTGGTAAAAATGAAATTTAACTCGATGTCTCCTCTTCTCTAACTAAATTTGCATATAATTTTAACAAAATACATCATGTGCACATCAGGTGTATAATGTTAAATACCTCTAATCTCTATTTCACATGATATGTACGAGACTATCTCCAATAGAAATCCAAATTTGAATACAAATTTGAGTTACCCTTAGTTTGATATAAGTTTATGTATAGCATTGGAGAAGATTTTTAAAAATTTTGTACCCAAATTTAAATTAAAGTTTAGAAAAGAGTAAAGGTTAAAGATGTTGGATGTTCCATTGTAGTTGCTAAATTTAGATGAAGGAAGAACATTAAGTCAAATTATAATTATAAGTGTAGAGACTATATATTAATACTAAAATTACTTCAGGGATGACAAGAGCTTTTTGAAATATTCCCAACCCCCAAAGCATATTTGTGTCTCACTTCTGGAATACAGAATTAGGGATAGTTAGGGTCAAAAAAATTAAGTTTAAAAAAAAGGTCCATGATTGATTGTTTGTGATGGGTAATCTGATTAGGCCATATTGGCGGTGGCATTTAGAGAGTTTTGTAAGTTATACTTGCAGAGTACATGTGCCCAGGGTTGATTTGAAAAAAATCTTCTTGTTCATCTTTTNTGGCCATATTGGTGGTGGCATTTAGAGAGTTTTGTAAGTTATTCTTGCAGAGTACATGTGCCCAGGGTTGATTTGAAAAAAATCTTCTTGTTCATCTTTTATGCTATCTTCTATGTCACTTGTTTGCTATAATAACATGGGTAGATTATGCATGTAATTTATATTATTATTGGCTTACGACTTCTACTCATTTCATTCAAGCATAAACAACCACTCATATATGTGAGAAAATTTTTTTGACTGCAAGATATTGTAGAAATTAGAAAAAAAAAATAGTTAGAGAAAAGCTATAAAATCTGTTGTATGTTAGATACCATGTGAAAAATTACGATTCAAAAAAAAATAATTATTGTTCAATGAAATAAAAATTCAGGAAAAAGTAAAATTCTCTCTTTCTACTAATTTGTTTGCTACAAAAATGTAAATTGATTAGTGGAGGTCAGGGATCTGCAACATCTCTCCCCTCACTCCATCCAATCCCTATTCTAGCATTGTTGCAAATCACCTATTGTGTGCTTAGTTGATTTTTTTTTTAAACAAGTAATTGAATTTGTTAACAAAAATAATAGAAGTTTAGACTTATAAAAAAAAAAAGACAAAGAAATTGAATTTTATTCCAAATTGTGGAACCCTAAATTCAAATCCAATTTGAGCTTGATTTTGATTCAAATTGAACTGAATTTCTATTGATTACAATAGGAAAATTTTGATTTCATTATTACAAATTTTCAAACACATAATGATTAAAAGATTAGAGTTCGCTAGTTGGTCTTTTGCATTCCATGCGCCAGCTTAAGATTATATTGTGAGAATGCAAGTTTGGGTGGTAGTTTAGCAGATTTAATGGATTCTGGATATGGGTTGCATCGGTTAAACTCAGATCCGGAAAGAAATTCTGCTTTGGGTTGGGTGGGCTTTGGAAAGTGATCCATGGGCTCGAATGCCGATACTGCAATAACGATCCCTCCAATAAAGAGTAGAAGATGAAGATAGATAGGACCGACCGACAAGCACTTCCAATCTTGCAACAGAGAATTTGCGTTCTTTGCCAATAATTGACGAATTTGAGACGATAATATCATATGATCATTCTTCAATATATGTTAGATGGCTAAATTATAAAAAATAAAAAATTATGTTACACCATGTTGTAATATTGAATATCTTTATTATGATACCACTTTGTAATAATCTACATAGGATCTTTAACAAATTGAAATACAATGTATAAAATATGGATTAACACATATATTATCTTTAATCCTTACATGACATCTCGTGATTAATTTTGTCTNTCTTTCTACTAATTTGTTTGCTACAAAAATGTAAATTGATTAGTGGAGGTCAGGGATCTGCAACATCTCTCCCCTCACTCCATCCAATCCCTATTCTAGCATTGTTGCAAATCACCTATTGTGTGCTTAGTTGATTTTTTTTTTAAACAAGTAATTGAATTTGTTAACAAAAATAATAGAAGTTTAGACTTATAAAAAAAAAAAGACAAAGAAATTGAATTTTATTCCAAATTGTGGAACCCTAAATTCANAAGACTTATAAAAAAAAAAAAAAGACAAAGAAATTGAATTTTATTCCAAATTGTGGAACCCTAAATTCAAATCCAATTTGAGCTTGATTTTGATTCAAATTGAACTGAATTTCTATTGATTACAATAGGAAAATTTTGATTTCATTATTACAAATTTTCAAACACATAATGATTAAAAGATTAGAGTTCGCTAGTTGGTCTTTTGCATTCCATGCGCCAGCTTAAGATTATATTGTGAGAATGCAAGTTTGGGTGGTAGTTTAGCAGATTTAATGGATTCTGGATATGGGTTGCATCGGTTAAACTCAGATCCGGAAAGAAATTCTGCTTTGGGTTGGGTGGGCTTTGGAAAGTGATCCATGGGCTCGAATGCCGATACTGCAATAACGATCCCTCCAATAAAGAGTAGAAGATGAAGATAGATAGGACCGACCGACAAGCACTTCCAATCTTGCAACAGAGAATTTGCGTTCTTTGCCAATAATTGACGAATTTGAGACGATAATATCATATGATCATTCTTCAATATATGTTAGATGGCTAAATTATAAAAAATAAAAAATTATGTTACACCATGTTGTAACATTAAATATCTTTATTATGATACCACTTTGTAATAATCTACATAGGATCTTTAACAAATTAAAACACAATGCATAAAATATTGATTAACACATATATTATCTTTAATCCTTACATGACATCTCGTGATTAATTTTGTCTCACCTAATCGATTTCATGGACAAAGAGGGCAAGAGGTGGATTGGCTTGACCAATAACATATTCTCTTCAAAATTAAAAAATATGAAGCAATTGATCTTCGAAAAATAGTGGTGAGTCGGTGGACAAGAATGAATTGATGTCAACGTGGCAGCAAAGATAAATCCTTGGCCAAGAACAACTATTGATCGACAATATGTTTCTCAAGTAGCATAAAAAGTGACAGATGTTGTCACTAGTGTCATTTTTCACATAAATGATGGATTTAAAAATTGAAGAGTTGGAGGGAGGACGAACCTAAAAAATGAAGGAGTTAGAAAGTGCCAAGATCGACATTGAACGATAGTTATGGCGGTGGTGCTTGTGTGGTGATCGCTGGGTAGAGGCAATGGAAACAATGAGGGAATGTGGGTTTGGGGCTGTTGAAAATTAAATAAAGCTCACTCACTCAACACCTTAGGGAGGAAGTGGTGGAGAATAAATATGTATTTTCGTTCTAATAAAAAAAATGACAAGTACATGTGTATTTAGATAAAAGAAACATGTATTTCCCGAAATTCACATCCCCATATTCAATACTACTACATTTTCAGGTAACTTTTGGAAATGTATAGAATTATCTTTTCAATTCCATGTGTCTAGCATTTTCTAAAATGTAATAGAAGAGACTAACAATTAAGCCAAATTTAAGGGTTAATCTCATTTTTTACCTCTAAAGCTTTGATTTTTTTATTTTTTTTTTGGGTACTATCAAATATTAAAAATTTTAATTTACACTCTCAACTCAATGTTATGAATTATTAATAACGTGGACTTCGCCCAAACTTTCGTTCAACTTTGTCATAAATTGAAATATGTGAGTTGCAAATGTTTCGAGCTACATATATTAATCACGTCTTGACTTAGTGCAAAAATATCTATATAATAAAATATAATATAAAAAATGAGTTTTGTTTTTTTGCGGTTGAAATTGTTTTAAATTTTACTTTAAAGTTAATTCAATAGCTAATATTAACTCTCCAAATTTAATAAAAAAAATAGGCCCTATAAAATTGTGTTTTAGGTGATTTTAAGTGTTTTAAGGACTTATGACTTTTCATAAGCACTTTAAAAAAATAATTAATGTTTGAAACAATTTATTTTAATTACTTCTAAAATAAGTCAAAAGTAATTTCATCACTTAAATAAGTAAGTAAAAATATAAAAAAGAATAACTTCTATTTCTTTAAAATTATTTCTTATAAAACACTTCACCACCTCCGCCGCCACCCCATCACCACCACCCACTACTCTCGTCACTCACCACTAATTGCTACTATCGCCACCTGTTACCACAATCCACCACCACCTGTCGTCCCATCATCGCTGCCACCCATTATCACCCCCCCTCCTCCACCACACCTACCACCACCATAGCCCATAAGCACCCCGTCTTCATCCACCATTACTCATACCCACCACTGCCATCGTCACCGCCCACCACTACTGTTGTCGCCCCACTACCACCACTATCATCGTTGCTATCAACAATTGCCACCACACACTATCATCGTCTCTCACCACCAATCATCCTCACTATAATTGGTATTTAAATTTATTTATATATTATCTATGTTTATTATTTAATTTTGAGTATTAATACAAATATATTTATAATTTATAATTTTTTTATTTATTCATACCTTCAAATACAGATAATAATTAGTGTATTAATACATA